CCCAAACCCCATCTCCGGCAGGACCACCCTCCCCCAGGACCATCGCCTGTCCTCATGGGCGTCTCCTTCCATCCCCCCCTCCCCGAGCAGTTACAGAGCAGGGCAGGAGAAGCAAGGAGCCCGTCCCGGGTGATGCTCGCCCCGGCCATGCTGTCCCGGGGGCTGAGCCCACGTCCTGGCCCAGCAGCGGTGGGGTTAAGCCCAGCCGGGCGGGCGGCTGGACAGGCGTCAAGGTGGTTGCTCCATCCATCCCTGCGCAGTCGGCGGGGCCGGAGAGCGGAGAGGGAGCGCTGCCCTGCCCGCCACCATGAGCGCAGGCAAAGGTAAGGCAGGGAACCTGCCCGTTCCCACGTCCCGGGAGGGAGAGGCAAGGCAGGGGGTTGTGGGGAGAGGCTGAAACGCTGATGGGGCTTCGCACTGGGGTCACCCTTAGCTTTTCTCCCCCATCCACTGCTAATAAGGCATTTTGGGAGCCCCCCTGCTGCCCGGGGTGCTTGCTGGCACAGTAGGGCAGAGGCCAAACCTGGACGGGGGCTGCAGGGACGGGCAGGGGCCGCGGCACCGAGACCCCTCTGCTCTGAGGAAGAGCAAGTTATGGGGGGACGTCTGGGGAGGAAGGGGGAGAGGGGCCTGGGGACCTTTCCCCACGAAAGGGAGAAGCTGCTGCTGCAATGAAGGGATGAATTTTGGGGGTCTGGGTACCTGAGGGGTCTGAGCCCTCTCCCGAGGGCAGATCCAGCCTCCGACCCCCCCCCGCTGCAGCTGCCCAGCGTGCACGATGGGCTGGGACAGACCCCTCCGCCCACCCCCCCAGCAGCACAGGCACCCCAGGGGGGTCCCAGGGGGGTCCCCAAGGGCAGCCATCGCCCCGCGCTAATGGTGTCCCCTTTTCTCCGTGCCCCGCAGCAGGCGTCACCCTCCTGCTCCCCCTGGCCCTGCTGCTGGCCACCGCCTCCCAGCCCCCCGGGGGGGACAGCCCGAAGGACCAGGGGGACGCGGACCCCCCACGCTGCCCCAGCCCTTGCGCCTGCAGCTTGGACGACTACAGCGAGGAGCTCAACGTCTTCTGCAGCACCCGCAACCTGACGCACCTGCCCGAGGACGTCCCCCTCAACGCCAAAGCCCTTTGGCTGGACGGCAATAACTTCACCCTGCTGCCGGCCGCTGCCTTCAGGAACCTCTCGGCCCTGGACTTTCTGGACCTGCAGAGCAGCCAGCTGGCTGCCGTGGAGCAGCACGCCTTCCATGGGCTGCGGAGCCTCTACCACCTCCACCTCGAACGCAACCGCCTCAAGCACTTGGCTCCCCACACCTTCCTCCACACCCAGAACCTCGTCTCCCTCAGCCTCAACAACAACTACTTCAGTAAGGTAGAGGAAGGGCTGTTCGCCGGGCTCTCCAACCTCTGGTATCTGAACCTGGGCTGGAACTCGCTTGTGGTCCTGCCCGACAAGGTCTTCCATGACTTGCCTAACTTGAGGGAGCTGATCCTGGCCGGGAACAAGCTCCCCTACCTCCAGCACCAGCTCTTCTGCAGCCTTACCGAGCTGAAGGAGCTGGATCTGAGCGGCAACGCGCTCAAGGGCATCAAGATCAACATTTTCGTCAAGCTGCAGAAGCTCCAGAAGCTGTACCTGAACCACAACCAGATCACTGCCATCGCGCCCCGCGCCTTCATGGGCATGAAGTCCCTCCGGTGGCTGGATCTCTCCCACAACCGGCTCGCCTCGCTGTTTGACGACACGTTTCTGGGCCTCCTCAGCCTGCACGTCCTACGCTTGTCCACCAACTCCATCACCAGCCTGAAGCCAAGGACTTTCAAGGACCTCCAGTTCCTGGAGGAGCTGCAGCTGGGGCACAACAGGATCCAGAGCCTGGCGGAAAGGACCTTCGATGGGCTGGGCCAGCTGGAGGTCCTCAGCCTTAACAACAACCAGCTCCAAGACATCAAGGTTGGGGCGTTCCTGGGGCTGTACAACGTGGCGGTGATGCACTTGTCCGCAAACTGCATCAAGGTCCTCCCGGACTATGTCTTCAAGGGGATCGCCAAGTTGCACAGCCTCCACCTGGAGCACAGCTGCCTCGGCAGGATCCGAGCAAACACCTTCTCCAGCCTCTCCAGCCTGCGGCGGCTCTTCTTGCAGCACAACGCCATCTCCGTCATCGAAGACCACAGCTTCAGCGAACTGCACGAGCTCCTGGAGCTCGACCTGAAGCACAACAGGCTGAGCCACCTCTCACCCCAGCTCTTCGTGGGTCTGAGCAACCTGGAGTACCTCTTCCTCTCCTCCAACCAGCTCCTGGAGATCTCCCAGGACACCTTCAGCCCGCTCCAGAGACTCTTCTGGCTCGACCTCTCCCATAACCAGCTGGAGACGCTGGACAACACCATCATCTCCCCCCTGGCCAACCTGCGGTACCTCAGCCTGAGGAACAACTCGCTGGAGACCTTCTCGGTGGGCTTTCTGTGCTCCTCCTTCGCCCTGGAGCAGCTGTGGCTGGGGGGCAACAACTGGCATTGCAACTGCTCCCTGAAGGGCCTGCGGGACTTCTCCCTGCGGCACCCCGTGGTGGTCCCGCGCTTCGTGCAGTCCGTGGCCGAGGGGGACGATGCCCACGTCCCCATCTACACCTACAACAACCTCACCTGCCTCCACCCCCCAGCCGTGGCGGGCCTGGACCTCCGTGACACCACCGAGGACAGCTTTGCTCACTGCTGATGCATGCCAGCCCTTCCTGGGGAGATGCACCACGGACCTTCGCCTGCCTCCTCCCCAGCCCCATCCTGGGCTCCCTGGGGCAGCAGCTCCCTCACCACCCCAGTTTAGCCCAGCTGCCCCAGTTTAGCCCAGCTTTGCCGCTGCCAGCTCCCCAGGGCAGCAGCAAGGAGTTGTGCCCGCACAATGCTGGACCATGGCCCCGGCCATTGGCAGGGGGAGACGGACACCAGCTCCCCAGATGGGCTTTGCTGGCTTCAAACTGCAATATTTCAGTCCTTTAATATTTAAAGAGCAGCCCCTGGGTTAGCGTGGTCGCTCCTGTTGGGCACACGGGCATCTCTGAGCCTCCGGCACGGGGGAACGCTGCACCCCCAGCCCGGAGCTGTCCCCGTGGCGAGCAGCACCCCTGCCGGGGCCAGGACTCATCGGTGGGACAAAGCAAAGCACCCTCCTGCCACGGAGCAGCCCAGAAAGCCTAAAAGCCCCCTGAGCTCCCGGGTAGGTTTAGGGAGGGGGGCAGACGACTTGCTTTAATCATTCCTTGCACTAGCAGGTGTAGGCAGGGTGCAGAGCGCCGCACACGTCACTTACCTGATAAATCGTAGCAGACAAATAAACCTTTGGAGCTATCGCAACCCATCTTGTAAGTATGTTTTTTCCAAAGCACGTGCCGCACCCAGGTGGGGTTTCTTATCAGAGCCCCTCGGGGCTTGCAGACAGAGGCGAGGAGCGCAGGCTCCCCACGGCGCTGGGGGAGCTTGCAGCAAGTTTTCTGCAAGCCCCGGGTGGGTGGCACGTGCCCAGGGAGGGAGCGAGAGGTGACCGGCCATCCCGCAGAAGCCAACAGCCAGGTCAGACTCCAGCGCCGCTGCCCAGCTCTCCAAATCCCAGATAAGTGATCAAAGGTCAGGAAAAAAAATTTTTCCCGGAAAGTTGCACGTGGGGAAACCTGGTCAGGTGTGAGTCCTCGCTGCGGGCGCAGTGGGAGCGGGGACAGATGCTCCTCCTGCTCTCCTCCACACGGCTGCCACGATAATCCGGTTTGGTTAGTGGAAATCTGAGATTTCCCCCTGCCTCCCAAAAACAGCACTGCAAGGAGGAGTCCTGAGTGCGGGGAGGGCACCCAGGCAGGAGGGGCTCGGAGTCCAGGAGGGAGGGAGACAAGATGCACCTTCGTTTGCTTCCCCAGCTTAACTCGAGCCTGCAAGAGAGCGGATCCCACGGGAGCAGCAGCTCTGAGGCCACGGAAGGAGGTTCAAGGGAGCAGGACACTCAGAGCAACGAGGCAGGAACCACCCGGGGACACGGAGGCGCCGCACGTGTGGCAGGGGCGTGGAGAAAAACCACGGCAAAGCATCCCGCAGAGGACTGCCAGGACCAGCTTTTGGCAGGACAAGGGACGGGCTGGATCCTGAGGCTGGTATGGAAGGAGGAAAGATTTAGTTGAACCCCAGCAAGGAAACTGGGGAAAAGCAGGAAATGCCTGGATGTACGTGAAGTGCTCGCAATACCAAGACTCCCAGCTACGATGAGGCCTGATGCCATGGAAAAACATACGTCACAGACTTGGATTTTAGGAAAAGTGTTTACTGCCTGGAATCTTTAAAAATATTCCTGAGTCACGATGACCCCCAGCAGACCAGAAAGGCCTTGTTTCCAGCCCGGCAGGATGCAGACCAGCGGTAGATCCCCTGAAGACACTTCCTCACGTGAAGCACGTGCCGTGCCCTCATCAGGGATCCGAGGTTTCAGAGCAAGGTGGCCTGGGGCCACATCAGAGCCT